TTCACTTACTATTTTTGTACAATTGTATCAAATATTTATAATAACAACAAACATATAAATATGTCATTTACAAATAAATAATAATTCATAAATATTTTAATTATTTAGAGTATTTAAAAATGAATTTTTAATATAAAAATAAATAAAACTTACCCTTAAAGCAGTGCTTGTCAAAAGTCTGTCTGTTCACATAAATATCTGAAACAAAAAACAAAACAAAATGAGTTTTATATGTAAATTATAATTATTATTTTGTTATTATATATAATTAATTAAAGTTTTTAATATTCGAAATCTTTTAAAAACGTAGAATTTTTAAGAAGAAATCGAGTCGTTTAGAAAAACATAAAATTTTCAAAAAAACTTTTTTTTTTTATTAAACTTTTGAACCTGATGAAAAAAGTGGGAGCATTTAATTTTAAATTTGAATTTGATTTAATTTTGATTTGAGTTTGAAATTTATTATATATTATTAAAAATTAAAAACTTTTTTAAAAAATGAAGTAAATTATATTTTTGACTTGTTTTTTTATAAGATTGGGATTTTTTTCAATAATTAATTTGTTAAGAACTATTATTCTATCAATTTCTCTATTATTTCTCTAAATGATTACAAAAAACAAAAACATAACAGTCAAATCTTTTACTCAATGGATTTCCTTTATGTATTTATGCCGATTAGCTCGTCAGTAGAGTCCTTTTTCTATTTTTATTAGGAATATCAAGTTTGCTCGTAAGTACAGTCCTTTTTATATTTTTTTTAATTTGCTCGTAAGTAGAGTCCTTTTTCTATTTTTATTAGGAATATCAAGTTTGCTCCTAAGTATAGAGTCCTTTTTCTATTTTTATTAGTAATATATTGAGTTTGCTCGTCAGTATAGTCCTTTTTCTATTTTCAATAATAATATATTGAGTTTGCTCGTCAGTAGAGTCCTTTTTATTTTATTTTATTTATTTTCTTTATTTTTTATTAGTAATATCAAGTTTGTTTGTCAGTATAGTCTATTTTTTATTAGTAATATCAAGTTTGCTCGTCAGTAGAGTCCGTTCTCTAATTTTATCAAAGATATCAAGTTTGCTCGTCAGTAGAGTCCTTTCTCTATTTTTTATTAGGAATATCAAGTTTGTATGTCAGTATAGTCTATTTTTTATTAGAATTATCAAGTTTGCTCGTCAGTAAAGTCCTTTCTCTATTTTTATTACGAATATCAAGTTTGTTCGTCAGTAGAGTTTTTTCTCTATTTTTATTAGTTACATTATGTTTGTTCGTCAGTAGAGTCCTTTCTCTATTTTTAATATCATTATATTGAGTTTGCTCGTCAGTAGAGTCCTTTCTCTATTTTTTATTAATAATATTAAGTTTGCTTGTCAGTAGAGTTTTTTCTCTATTTTTTCATTAGTAATATCAAGTTTGCTCGTAAGTAGAGTCCTTTCTCTATTTTTTAATTTCAGTTTGCTCGTCAGTAGGGTCCCTTTGTTTCAGTTTGCTCGTCAGTAGAGTCCATTTCTCCTTTTTTTGAAACTTTGTTTGTCAATAAAGTCCATTTCTTCTATTTGTTTGCTGATCAGTTCTGATTTCTTCAATTTTTATTTCAATTTGGTCGTCAGTAGAGTTCCTTTTGGTTTCATTTCAGTTTTTTTGTCATTAATATTGCCCTTTTTGTTTTTGTTCTATTTTGCTTGTTAGTAGAGTCGTTTTTATGTAATTTTGCTTTGTCAGTTGTCCCTCTAATTTTATGTTGGTCGTTAATAGAGTCCCTTTTTCTTTTTAATTTCATTTTGATCGTCAGTAAAGTCCCCTTTTCTTTTATTTTATTTAATTTTGCTCATCAGTAGAGTTCCTTTCTATTTTTCATTTCAATTTGTTTGTCCCTTTTATTCATTATTTTATTCTAGTTTGTGTGTCAGTACAGTCCCTTTTTTGAATCAGGTATGATCGTCAGTAGAGTTCTTTTCGATTTTTATAAAATTCGCTCTTTAATATAGTTTTGTTTGTTTTATTATTTTTTTAAATTTTGCTTGTCAGTAAAGTTCCTTTGGTATCCTTTTTATTTTAGTTTGCTTTACAGTACAGTTCTCTCTTATATTTTCTGCCAGTAGAGTTCCTTTCTTCTTTTTATTGCTTTTTGCTCGTCAGTAGAGTCCCTTTGTTTTTTTATTTTGAATTTACTCTTAATATTTTCGAAGACATATTTTTTCATAAAAAAGTTATTTTTGTTTTTTTTAATGAAAAAGTCAAATATTTTGAGAAAAAATCAAAACATGAACAAAAAAAGACGCTGAAAGGGACTCTACTAACCAGTAAATTAGAAGAAATAATAAAGGAAATCTACTGACGAGCAAACTAAATTTAGATTTAAATCATAAAATTAACTCTCCTAATAACCAAACTAAAATAATATAAAAGGGGACTCTACTGATGAGCAAACTGAAATACACAAAAAAATAAATTCTACTGAAAAACAATGAACATTTTGTGAGAAAGCGTCGAATCTTCGATTATAGGGAAACATTTTTTTTTAAATAGAAAAATCATTAAAAAAAGTAGTTTTTTTTTAAATATTTATATGTATATTAGGGTGGTCCTTAATATGGATATTTTCAAATTTCTTTGCTACCAAAGGCTCAAATACTTCTAAATTAATTAAAGATAAATCTCTGAAAGTTTTAGCTCTTAATATCAACATTTGTGATAGTCCGCAATTCAATTAAAAGTTTCTTATATTTGTTATTAACATACGTCATTAAGTAAATTCTTGCGCCATCTGTGACAGCAAACTTGTAATATTGATGGCAATTTATTAATGATAATTTAAGTGTCTATATCACCGATTAAATAAATATTTTGCTGCAAAATATTAATTGTCATATATATATATATACAATATATATATATATACATATATATATATATATATACTCGTATATATATATAAAATTATATTTCATAATACTGTTGAGAAATCATCTCCTTTTGTTAAGAGAAAACTTTAATGACCTCACAATTATATTTCATTGGCTAATAAATAGTAACCGTAATACCCACTTTTTAAATAGCATAATCATGATTGGCCAAATATAATTTGATAATAATTATTAACCAATTATAATCGATTATTTGTAATAAACCACATTTAATTGGTTACCAATTTGTAAACTATGAGCTAGGGTTTTAATTTTGAATACATTTTTTTAGATTTATTGATTTTTTTTGATTTTTTGAATTAAAAGTTATTACTTTTAGTATTTGGTATCAAAATATATATATATTGAAGAATACATTGACAAAGTTATACGATCGTAGATCAAATGGTGCGTCCTTAAGAGCTCTTTGAAATTAACATTTTATTTATGCCCTGAACAATTTTTATTCATATACTAGGTACTTTTTTATATAAATGTTTTTTCATAAAAGAATTTGTTTAGTTTTATTATTTATTGTCATAGTAGATATATTGAAGTATATGATACAAAAATTATAGTACTGTAGTACAAACAGTGCATCCTGAAGAGCTCATCAAAAACTACTTTGTAATTTTTTGACATTTCATATAAAATTTACAAATATCATGTTTTGTGGTATAAACACTATTGAATTAAATGTTTAGTGTAAGTTAGTAGTTTAGGTATAAAAAGAACTCTACTGACGACTAAACCAAATATCCCAATAATATAATAGAAAAAAGACTTTACTAACGAGCAAAATTGATATTACTATACACAAATAGAAAAGGGACTCTACTGACGAGCAAAATTAATATTTCTAATAAAAAATAGCAAAAGGTTTCTATATTGACCAACAAATTTAATATTACCAATAAACACAAAAAAGAACTTTACTGACAAGCAAGACACCATAAAAATAGAATACGGCCTCTACTGACGCACAAATTTGATGTCACTAATAAAAAATAGAAAAAAGAAACTATTAACAAGCAAATTATAAAAACGGAATCTACCGACGAGCTAATTAAATTACTAACAATAAGTCAAATTCAACGTTTTTCAAAAAAAAAAGAAACAAATGTACAAAAAAATCAAAATAATAATTTTGTGTAAAAATTAACTTTTGATGGATTGAATTATAGTGTCAAAACGTCATTTTATATTATATATGTTTATTAACTTCGTCTCTAATTACTCGTTTATTGCCTCTAATTGCACTCTCTACAATATGCATACTGAAACAAGTATAAATAGATGGCAAATACATCCACTCTGAAATTACATCAATTTTAATTCTTTCAGCATATCATAGATGGCGCCACCGGCCGTAGCACGTAAATTTACCCTTAGGTTCAATTCTAGGATAAGATTTATTTAAATATATAATATAGAAAAGAAAAAACCTGATTAATTTGACTAAATAAAATATATTTTCAAGAAAATTATAAATATGCTGTAAACTAGTGGTGTATGGCATCGTGCCTTAATTGCTGGAACTTCCCGCACCGTAATGAAATATTCGAGATAGTTTAAACGTTTTCAAATATATTATTACAAATACTGTAATTGTTTCATTATTTTTGCTATCTTGTTATATCTGAGCAAATCAAATGTAAATCATAAATCATAAATCAATTTATCTACAGTTAACATTAACAATCGTCATTTCATTTCGAACTCAATTAAAAAAAAATACCTAAGTTGCCTAATTTGCACAAAATTGAAAAAGTGCTCCCGTATAGTCACAGTCTAAACGCATTTGCAAACAATTCTGTGCTACATTTTCACTTATACTGTTCTTAGCTTGGCGGCAATTTCACATTTTTCATTAGTTTAGTTTATTATTATTGATTACGGCTTGCTTATGAAAAAATAAATAAATGCCATTTTTAAGTAAAAATTACGAAAATTAACCAGACTAAGCACAGTCTCAGTGACAATCTGGTACAAATGTTTGCTCAAGTGCGTTTAGATTGTTACTTCATCGCAGCAATTTTCAAATTTTATGTAAATTATTTATAAAAATTACATTTCGAGTTAAAAAAAATCGAAAAATGACTCATACTAGGCACAGTCTAAGTGAGAACGCGGTACAAATGTTTTCACGAGTGCGTTTAGAATGTGACTGTACGGGTGCACTTTTTCAATTTTGAGAATGAAAAATGAGGCATCTAAGCACAGTCTAAGTAACGACCCTGTACAAATATATTTGCGGGTACGCTTAGATTGTTACTGTACTGGAGCAATTTTCAAATTTTATGTAAATTATTTATAAAAATGTCATTTGAGTTGAAAAATCGTAAAATGACCCAGACTAGACACAGTCTAAGTGATAACCCGGAACATATTTATTTAGAAGGGCGTTATTTATAAAAATTACATTTTCAAAAAAAAATAGTTGCACAAAATTTACACAAAATTGAAAAAGTGCTCCCGTATAGTCACAGTCTAAACAACATTTGCAAATAATTCTGTGCAACATTTTCACTTATACTGTGCTTAGTTTGGCGGCATTTTCACATTTTTCAATAGTTTTCTTCTTTCACAAAATTCGTAAAGTGCTCCAGTACACAAACAGTCTAAACGCACTCGGGTAAACATTTGTACCGCAGTGGCGTTTAGACTGTGCTTAGTCTGGGTAATTTTTTCAATTTTTTTAACCCAAAATTTTTTCAAATTTTTAAATTTACGTAAAATTGGAAAAGTGCTCCCGCATAGTCACAGTCTAAACGTATTTGCAAATAATTCTGTGGGACATTTTCACTTGTACTGTGCTTAGTTTGGCGGCATTTTCACATTTTTCATAAGTTTTCACAAAATTCGAATTGGAAAAGTGCTCCAGTACATAAACAGTCTAAACGCACTTGGCTAAACATTTGTACCAGAGTGGCGCTTAGACTGTGCTTAGTCTGGGTAATTATTTCAATTTTTAATCCAAAATTACAAAAAAATATTTTATGAAAAATAAATAAGATGTAATAATTTTTTAACCTCAAAAGCATTTGTTTTGTCAATACAAGCAGAAAAAATGCGGACATACAAAACACACACACACACGCATTCATTTAGTTTCTGAGGTATGCCCCTTTAAAAATGTTCAGAAACCTTGAAAACGTCGAGAAATGTAAAAATTTTCATTTTCGATTTTCGGCCCATTACTATAACTACCATACGGGAAGTTAAAAATATATAATAAGAAATATTTAAATATTTTTTTATTCAAAAAAGATATATATTTCAATATATAAAATAGGTATTCGAACGTTTAAAGTACGTGTACTATATTTAGAAAAACTCTGTGTAAACTTAAACAAACGCTGAATTTGAAGCGCGCAAGCACCATCTGTGATATGCTAAAAACGCTCATACAGAGTAAATAAAATGAGAACTAGCTGTAAGTGGAATTCTGTCTTAAGGCAATTAAGGCATCGTGCCTTAAGGCAAATTGCTGGAACTTCCCGTACCAAAAATTATTAATTTTTTTAAAAACGATTAACATTTTTGAAAAAAATTTACTTTGAAAAAATAAGATTTTTGAGAAACTATAAATTGGACAAAAAATAACTTTTTTTTGAAAAAAAAATTTAAAAAAAAAAAAATTTAATTTTTTTTTTTTTTTGAAAAAAAAATTTTTTTTCTTCATTTTGACATATTGTGGAAGATCTGAACTTTTTCTCAAAGCAATCATACTGCTTTAACTGCATAGGGACAAAATATAAAGCGCGTAAGCGCCGCGTCGCTGTCTAATGCATAAGCATTGGTACGGAACCCATAGGAATGTTAACAAAATTCATACTTATTTATGTTAAAATCTCTATAAAATATCTGATAATTTGATGTGCATATGTCTAATGGTCATTTTTGACCGCCAAATGGCATTTTTTTTACTTTTATCGTTAGATCTCCGAAACCGTTAGACCTGCCTTTATGAAAATTTGATCGGGTCTTCACCTTGTCAATACAAGTCAAATGTTTTTTGAATTATTAAAATCGGACGCTTTTTGCCCCGTATCTTCGGAACGGCTAGACCTGTCTTCGCCAAAAACTAATCAGCACGTCTCCTTATCAATACGAATCGAATGTTTTTTGAATTATTCAAATCGGTTGGTCCGTGTTCCCGAAATCGTCGACGAAAATTTGTATCCGCACATACATACACACACGTACATACATACACACACACATACACACACACATACATCCATTTTTTCTAAGGTATGCCAAAATGTTCAGAAACCTCTGAAACGTAAAGATATATAAAAATTTTTATTTTCGATTTTTTTGCGATTACTATGACTTACCCTACGGAAAGTTGAAAATATAAAAAAGGACTCTACTAACGAGCAAACTTAATGAAAATAATAAAAAATAGAAAAAAATAGAAAAAGGACTCTAACGACAAACAAATTTAATATTATCAATAAAAATAGAAAACGAACTCCACTGACAAGCAAACTCAAAATCACATTAAAAATAGAAAAAGGATCTTTAAAGGATCCCTACAAGCAAAGTTAAAAGATGGGGGGATCTTTAAAGGATCCCTACAAGCAAAATTAGAAAGAGACTCGACTGGCGCGCAAACTTATCACTATTAAAAAAAAGAACTCTACTGACGAGTAATATTACTATTTCAAATATAAAAAGAACTCTACTGACGTCTAAACCAAATATCCCAATAATATAATAGAAAAAGGACTCTACTGACGATCAAACTTGATATTACTAATACACAAATAGAAAAAAGACTCTAATTACGAGCAAATTTGATATTACTAATAAAAAATAGAGAAAGGACTCTACTGACGAGCAAACTTGATATTCCTAATAAAAATAGGAAAAGGACTGTACTGACGAAAATACAAAAGGGACTCTACGACGAGTAAAGTTAATATTGTTATTAAAAATAGAAAAAGGGACTCTACTGAGGAGCAAACTCAAAAAAAGTAGAAAAAGGGGTAAACTTGATGTAATTAATAAAAATAAAAAAGGACTCTACTGACAAACAAACTTGATACTACTTATAAAAACAGAAAAACAAAGCAAATTAATTATATTATATTTCATTTTTTTTCAGATGCGTTTCCTTAACCGACCAATCACCTATCTCCTTTTGATCGTTATCAACAGTTTGTTACTGCTGTCGACCAATGAGGTGTCGTGTCAGGAACCTGCTTTCGAACTTCCGGTTCAGCTGATCGGATTTCCGGTCATCATTTTGGCTGTCAGACTTTCGAATTTCGTTAAGAAGTTGGCTTACAGCCTTAGTCCACGTAAGTAGTGGGAGGAGGATATAGAATATAGAAGAGGCTATATGTATATGTATATATATATATATATATATATATATATAATAATGTTTGACTCTATTGATAAGCAAATTCAAATAAAAGAACAAAGAAACTCTACTGACGAGAAAATTTAGATGAAAGAACAAAGGGACTCTACTGACGAGCAAACTAAAATAAAACAGGAACTCTGGAGACCTAATAAAAAGACCTAATACTGACGAGCAAACTATAGAGAAACAACAAAAGAACAAACTGAAAAAAGCTAGATCCTAAAAAGGACTCTACTGACAAGTAAACCCAAATAATAAATTGAAAGAACAGTACTGATGTTCGAAACGATTTTCGACTAGATTAAATAAAAGGACTCTACTGACGAGCAAATTCGAATAAATGAAGAAAAGAACATTTTACAAGACGAGCAAATTAGTATGGAAGTACAAAGGGACTCTACTGACAAACAAAATTTAAAAAAATAGTAATAAAGAATTTTACTGACGAGCAAAATTTCAAAAAAATAAGCAGGAATTATACTGATGAGCTAACTAAACCTAAAAGAAAATAAAAAGGAACTCTACTGACGAGCAAAATTTACAAAAAAAGACACTGACGAGCAAAATTTTAAAAAAGTAAATAAAAAAGAACTACTGACAAAAAAAAATAAAAAAATATACGAAGGGACTATACTGACGAGCTAACTGAAATAAAAGGAGAAAAGAAACTCTACTGACGAGCAAAACGAGATATAGAGAGAAAAAGGACTCTACTGACAAGCAAAATTTAAAACAAAAAGAAAATAAAGAACTCTACTGACGAGCAAACTAAAATGAAACAAGAAAAGAGAACTCTACTGACGAGCAAAATTTGTAGACTCTACTGACAAGCAAAATTAAAAAAAATATAATTGAACTCTACTGATAAGCAAATCCAAACAAAGAGAGCAAAGGGATTCTGCTGACAAGCAAAATTTAAAAAAATAGAAAGAAACGCTACTGACAAGCAAAATTTTAAAAAAAAGATAAAGGATTCCACTAACGAGCGAATTTAAAAAAAGTAAAGAATTCTGACGAGAAAAATTAAGAAAAAAAGTGATAATAAGAAGGGACTCTATTGACGAGCAACATTTAAAAAGATTTTACCGACAAGCAAAACAAAAAAAATAAAAAGAAACTATACTGACGAGCAAACAAAAACAAAAAAACGTGCAGTATTATAACAAAAAGCAGTACCTATTTATATTTAGACTAATAATAAGTGGATATTTATAAATAGCTGGTCAGTAGAGTCATTTTCCATCTAAATTTTAGTGCTAGTTTGCTCGTCAGTAGAGTTCTTTTGTATTATATCACAATGAGTCAAATATATTATGTCAATAGTTCCTTTTAGTGCAGAAGCTAAATTAGTGTACAAATTCAGATTTCAATTACTATTTTAAAGTATACCGAGTTGCTGTAGGGTATTATGATATTAGACAATATTCTAGATAATTTAATTTTAAACAAATTTGCCGAAAACATCATTCATACTAAACAAACGATTTAAAAGTTACAGCAGATTTAGGAAAAAAATGCACAAACCAGTCGAATCGATGTCCAATCGAAGTCACTTCGTACTATATATATACAGTACAGTGCGTCAAAGTGTTCCAAAAATTAAAAATGCATGTTGGGTATCAAATGAAAGGACTCGACGAGCACTTTATGAATATCATAGTTATAGACCCTAAAAACCAATAGGGTTCCGTACATTAAACATTTTTCTTATATTTACAATTAATTTATCGATTTTCTTAGATATTTTGTACTACAGTTACTTGTTTTATTAGACAGTATTATGAATTATTTAATTTTAAACAAATTTGCCTAATACATCATTCATATTAATCAAATGGTTTGAAAGTTACAAGAGTTTAGAGGTCGAGTCGATGTGCTATGGTTGTAGCTTCATACTATATACAGTAAAGTGGGTCAAAATGTTTCAAAAAGTAAAAATGCATGTTCGGTATCAAATGAAAGGTCTCGACAAGCACTTTACGCATATCATAGTTATAGACCCTTAAAAACCAATAAGGTTCCGTACCCCTCACAATTAACTAGAAACTAAAAGTAATTACCGATTTTCAACAATGTTGCAAATACTATTAAGTTACTGTAGTATAATATAATATCAGACAATAATCTAGACAATATAATTTTGCACAAATTTCCCAAATACATCACTCATATAAATCGAATGGTTTTGAAGTTACAAGAGATTTTGTAAATAAATGCACAAGCGAGTCGAGTTGATGTCGATTCAAAGTTGCTTCGTACTATATACAGTACAGTGGGTCAAAAAGTTCCAAAAAATTAAAATGCATGTTGGGTATCAAATGAAAGGTCTCGACGAGCACTTTATGAATATTATACTCATAGACAATGAAAACCAAAAATGTTCATACTACCCCTAGACATCATTATATAAATTATACATCATTAATAAAAATATGTAATAAATATGTAATATATATATATATATATATATATATATATATATATATAAATTGCACTATATAACATATCTATCACAAATACAACTTCCGACCCGGAAATTTCTATCCGGAAGCAGTACGGAACCTTATTAAACCAATCGTAATCGTAATATAATAGTCACGTAATAAATAATCATAAATAGTAAATTCTTCCATATCGCATAACCTGTATATATATATATATATATATATATATATATACATATATATAATTATAGTTACATCGACAGAAGACTTGTTTTAGTTCTTATTAGACCGGAAATTTAATTGCGTAACTGAAATAGAGGAGAAAGGCGAAAGATTTATACGTGTAAGACACATTTGTTATTATTTTGATGGAATTGTAGAGAAAAACCGGTTTTTGTAATGTTAATTTGTGTGCCATAATGTTTAGGAAATTTATTAAACGGATAAAAAACGCTTGATGTGTAAACGATGCTTAATAGAGCGTGAGAAAGAGACAGAATGAGCGACAGAGGAGAAAGAGAAAGAGATAGAGTGAGAGAAAATCCTTCTTGCTTATTCTAGTTGAGTATTGCCCGATTTATGTTTATATTTATATTCATATTACGGATACAGGATTAAATTTAATAATTACAGATAATAAATTATCTTAATTGAATTAATTACAGTAAAATACAACTCTAAAACAATATGAAGTCTAACATTAGTATTATCTAATACAATAACTTAAAGAAAGATTGCATTTATGACTAATTTCCCTTTGGTTACTTGAATTGCCAGATGACAATAGTTTGTAGAGTATATATTTTAGTTTATATTAATATGATATATTTAAATTTATATTATATTATGTATGAATATATGTAGTACATGCAAAGATTGAATGATTAATTAAACAGTATTAATCATTAGTTTAAAATATAATAGTTAAAAGCTTATCATAATATTATTTAAGTTGATATATGTACTTATTAAATACTATTAAATGTTTTTTAGATATATTTAATAAATAATATTCGTAGGACTTATGTTGAAGAATAATATATTAAATATGTTAACAGACTGTAAATTGAATAAATGAATGAAAATTAATTATTAGAATTTAGAGACAAAATGTTGAAATAAAGTAAAAAAAGAAAGAAAAAGTGGTTGAAGAAAAGTTAGTATATAAAATATTTAAATATAAAGGGAGATAATTTTCATAATAAAAGATAAAATAAAAATCTACTAGAATAATGTAATATGTTTCGGTAAGATTTTATAAAGTTTGAGAAATCTTGTTGCTTTATATGGTCTATAACTATGATATTTGTAAAATGCTCGTCGAGACCTTTCATTTGATACCCAACATGCATTTTTACTTTTTGGAACATTTTGACCCGCTGTACTGTACATAGTACGAAGCGACTTCGATCGGACATCGATGCGACTCGTTTGTGCATTTATTTACTAAATCTCTTATAACTTTTGAACCGTTTGTTTAATATGAATGGTGTATTCGGCAAATTTGTTCTAAATTAAATAATCTAAATCAATTGTCTAAGATCATAATGCACTAAAAGCACAAAGGACACTACTGACGTACAAAATAAATCTCGACACAAGAAAAAAATATTAGCAATGTGAAAAATTTAAAATAAAAAACCTGTTTTCGACAATCAAACCGAATCTAGACCTAAATCATAAAGGGACTCTACTGACAAGCAAAGTTATATTTCCTTTGTATAAAAAACTTAATATTATTGAAAAAAATTCAAATTTAAAAAATATTAATATTGATTATATTATAAATATTGCGTAACAAAAGAGAACTCTCTGAGAACCAAAATATGAAAATCTAGTTTTGAATCAATAGAGGGTTGATTCTACTGCCGAGCAAATTTAATTTTTCTCTTAAAGAAGGAAATAATGACCTTAAAAAAAGAAAAAACTCTACTGACAAGCATAGATTTGTAATATACGAAACCCTATAAGTTTTTGGGGTCCATAAGTATCATATTCGTAATGTGCTCGTCGAGACCTTTCATTTGATACCCCACATGCATTTTTACCACATGACGTCACCAAGCGGTCTTTGTGACCCGCTGTACTATATATAGTATAACACAATCATTACATTCTGCTAAGTAGCGGTGCATTTATTTATTATAACTCTTGTAACTTCTAAACGGTTCGTCCAAATTGAATGAAATATTTGGTGAATTTGTTCAAACTTAAATTGTCTATAATGTTTTTTAATACACTAAAACTCTACAGCAACATGGTATACTCTAAAATCGACATTAAAGACTAAAGTTGAATACTGAAATTTTATTTTTATTCAAACGTGCTTTCTGCTGGTGTATCTTTTATAACGCCTAAACCATTTGATTAGCATGAATGATGTATTCGGCAAATTTATACAAAATTAAATAAATTTAGAATATTGTCTCACATTATTAATGCCTAGAGCAACTCGGTATACTCTAAAATTGACATTAAAATCTAAAATAAAATCCGGATGCCTTATATTTGCACAAAAACGCATTCTTCAAGTAGAGATATACTTGAAGAATGCGTTTTTGTGCAAATATAAGGCATCCGGATTTTATTTTACATTTTAATGTAAAATAAAAATAAAAATAAAATTAAAAATACTGAACCATTCGATTAATATGAATGATTCAACAAATTTGTTGAGAAATGAATAATGAAAAACTCATCTTTACAACAATAGATTCTACAGCAACTCGGTATACTCTAAAATTGATTTTAAAAATGAAAACAAAATTTTGTCACTTTTATTTGTACAGAACTCAGAATAACAGAATTAGTTGGTATAAAAATTAGTGCAAAAATTCTTGTACTTTACTTATAACTTCTAAACCATTCGTTTAATATGAATGATGTATTCGACAAATTTGTTTAGAATTTAATGATGAAAAACTTATCTTAATAACACTAGACCCTACAATAACGCGGTATACTCTAAAATTGCATTTTATCAATTTTATATTTTAATAGTACGAAGTAACTTCGATTGGACATCGACACGACTTGTTTGTGCATTTATTTATTGTATCTCTTGTAACTTTTAAACCATTCGATTTATATGAATGATATATTCGACAAATTTGTTCAAAATTTAATTATGAAAAATTTATCTTAATAACACTAGACCCTACAGCGACTCGGTATACTCTAAAATTGGTTTCAGAAATTAAAACTAAATTTTGTCACTTCTATTTGTACAGAACTCAGAATTACAGAATTAGTTAGTACAAAAATTAGTGCAAAATTCTTGTCAATCAATCATAACTTCTGAACCATTCGGTTAACATGAATGATGTATTAGGAGAATTTATTCAGAATTTAATAATGAAAAACTTATCTTAATAACACTAGATCCTACAGCAACTCGGTATACTCTAAAATTGCATTTTATCAACTTTAGTTTCTAATAGTACGAAGCGACTTCGATTGGACATCGACGCGACTTGTTTGTGCATTTATTTATTGTATCTCTTGTAACTTTTAAACCGTTCGTTTAATATAAATGATGTATTCGGCAAATTTTTTCAAAATAAAATAATATAAAATATTGTCTAATATCATAACGCTATACAGCAACTCGGTATACTTTAAAATGCCTCTCAAAATTAGTATTTGGAGCTATAATAATACGTTTTCCTTTTTCGTTTCTTTTTCAGTACGGAACCTTAAGTGATTTATGTTCAATTATAATTGCAATATTAATATGTGTGTCGTGTCTTGTATCTAAAAATAATAATGACGACTTCCATCATTACACAATAGTAGAAAATTTCTAATGTTACAAAATTGAAGAAGAGAATTTCTACATCAAACAATCGTCGAAGACGAAAGCGCCATTGACACACTTTCGAACGGAAGATATAAACTATTTCATAATGATAAAATTATTGCATTTATTTTCACTCGATTTATTGATTATTGTGTCCTGAACAAATTCGCCGAATGCATCATTCATATTAATCGAATGGTTTAAAAGTTACAAGAGATGCAATAAATACATGCAGTCGTGGTAAATAGATTTTATTTACTTAGCAGCCTAATTATAAGTCTTTATTTCTGAATGGTTTTGGAGTATACCGATTTGCTGTAGAGTATTATAATATAAGACAAAATTGTTTATTATTTTATAGTAAATATATTTGTCAAATACATCATTCATATTAAACGAACGGTTTAAAAGTTACAAGAGATTTAGTAAATAAATGTTCAAACAAGTCGCGTCGATGTCCAATCGAAGTTGCTTCGTACTATTAGAAACTAAAGTTGAAAAAATGCAATTTTAGAGTAGACCGAGTTGCTCTAGGGTCTAGTGTCGTTTAGATGAGTTTTTTATTATTAAATTCGAAACAAATTTGTCGAATACATCATACATATGTATCGAATAGTTTAAAAGTTACAAGAGATACAAAATATAAATACACAAACGAGTTGAGTCGATGTCTAATCGAAGTCGCTTCGTACTATATACAGTACAATGGGTCAAAATGTTCCAAAAAGGAAAAATGCATGTTTGGTATCAAATGAATAGGTCTCGACGAGCACATTACGAATATCATAATTATACTCCCTTAAAACCAATAGGGTTTTGTACTTGCAATTCAATTTACTACTATCGATATTGTCAAACCTTTTTTTTAAACCTAACCTCAGAATTTTAACTGTCAATGAAATTATTAATGCCAATATTTATTAAGTGACTTGTTTAATTATGATGTGAACAATTAAAAAAGATACTCTACTAGCGAGCGAACTTTAATTTTGATTTATAATATTTAAAAAAGAAACTCTACTGACGAGCAAACGTAAAATGATTAGCAAAAGGACTCAAAGGACAAATTTGATATTTATAAAAAAAATAGAAAAATGGACTCTACTGACGAGCAAACTTAAATTTTTTATCTATGAAATTAAAAAAAGGACTCTACTGAGAAGCAAACTTCAATTTTGATTTACAGAATTAAAAAAGGGACTCTACTGACGAGCAATCTCTAATTTCAATTTGGAGAATTAACAAAAAGGGACTCTACTGACAAGCAAACTTAAATTTTGATTCAACAAATTTAAAGAAAGAACTCTACTGAAGAGCAAACTTTAATTTTCATTTAAAGAATCAAAAAAGGATTCTACTGACGAACAAACTTCAATTTTGATTCAAAGAAATTAAAAAAAAGGACTCTACTGACGAGCAAACTTTAATTTTGTTCTAGAAGTTTGAGAAAAATACTCTACTGACAAGCAAACTTAAAAAAAATAGAAAAACAAATATAAAATAATTAAGAAAAGGACTTTATTGACGAGCGAACACAAAATAATTAGGAAAAGGATTCTATTGACAAGCAAACTTAAAATAAAATAGAAAAGAACTCTACTGACAAGCAAAAATTTATATAATCCAAATCCATACTCTAAAATGAAATCCACAAATTCTAAATAGAATTTATAAACTCCAAAAAAATCCATAAACTCCAAAAAACCCACAAATACCAAAAAAAACATAAACTCCGAAACTTACTCCGTAAAATGCAAAGAAAAATCCAAAAAAAAACTTAAGCTTAGAAAAATCCATAAATTCAGAAAAATCAAAAAAAAAATACATAAACTCCAAAAAATCTAAAAAAAATCCATAAACTCAGAAAAATCTACTGACAAGCAAAAGTGAAATAATTAGAAAAAGAACTCTACTAACTAGCAAACTTAAAATAAAAAAGGACTCTACTGACGAGCAAAATTAATATCACTGTCAAAAAATAGTAAAAGGACTTTACTGACAAAAAACTTTAAAAATTTGATAAATTGAATTTGAAATTTAAACAGAAACGGACTTTACTGACGAGAAAATTTGATCTCACTGCTAAAAAGCTAAAAAAAGGACTCTACTGACGATCAAACTTAAAATCACTAATAAAAATTAGCAAAAAAGGACTTTACTGACAAGAAAATGTGCAATAATTAAGACTGATGATCAAACTTAATATTTCCAATAAACTAATTTTGATCTAGAAGAGTGAAAAACCGACTCTACTGACAAGCAAACTTAATACTTTAGCTAAATTAGTATCATTTCTTATTATAACAAAAAAAAATAGAACATTTTTGCAATATTTATAATTTTTTTTATCATTTCAGAAACCTATGCACCAAATTCATCATCGCAAATCCCGTCCAATTACAATTCGGCAATTTCTTCCAACACTATACAGAGATCGAAAAGATCGACACTCGAGAATCTTCGACAGGACTTCGAAGTCAATTTCGATATCGACGAAGCCGAAAGGAAATTAGTGGCCTCTTTAGGTAAAAAAATAAAAAAATAATATTTTTATTTATATCATTTATAAATATTACACTACATGGACTGCCATTAGTCCTCATATGTTATATATAGTGAAATAAAAGATAGAAGGAACTGTGTGAGCGAACATTGCCGACGACAATCGCGGACTCTCCGGCGGTAGAGTCATTTTTTGCCAATTTTTAATGTGATTTTAAGTTTGCTCATCAGTAGAGTCCCTTTTTAAATTTTTTAAAACAAAATTATAGTTTGCTCGATAGTAGAGTTTATTTCTATTTTTTGTCCTTTTTTCACTTTTCTAAATCAAAATTGAATTTTGCTCGTCAGTAGAGTCCCTTTTTTTCTAATTTCAAGGGTCATATCAAGTTTACACGTCAGTAGAGTCCCTTTTCTTAATTTTCCAAATCAAAAATAAAGTTTGCTCATCATTAGAGTCCTTTTTTAATTCTCTAAATCAAAATTTAAGTTTACTGGTCAGTGGAGTCCATTTTTAAATTCTCTAAATCGAAATTAAAGTTTGCTCGTCAGTAGATTCCCTTTTTTATTGTTTTGAATTAAAATAAAATTTGCTTGTCAGTAGAGTTCTTTTTTCCTAATTTTCTAGACTAAAATTGAGTTTGCTTGTCAGTAGAGTCCCTTTTTTAATTCTCTAAATTAAAAATAAAATTTACTCATTATTAGAGTCCTTTGTTAATTCCTTGAGTTAAAATTTAAATTTGCTCGTCAGTAAAGTTCCTTTTTTTGATTTTCCAAATCAAAATTAAAGTGTGCTTGTCAGTAGGGTCCTTTTTTTCTAATTTTTCAGATTAAAATTGAAGTTTGCTCGTCAGTAGAATCTCTTTTTTATTTTCCAAATCAAAATTTAAATTTGATCGTCAGTAGAGTCCCTTTTCTCAATTCTCTAAATTAGAAATAAAGTTTACTTGTCAGTAGAATTCCTTTTTTTCTAATTTTCTGGATTAAAATTGAATGCTTGTCAGTAGAGTCAATTGTTTGCTTGTCAGTAGAGTCCCTTTTTATTTCTATAAATCGAAATTTAAGTTTACTTGTCAGTAGAGTCCCTTTTTTATTTTTAAAATTTAAACTAAAATTTGCTCGTCAGTAGAGTCCCGTTTCTTAATTTCCTAAATCAAAATTGAAGTTTGCTCAAATGTCTTTATAGTAATATATAAACCAATTTTTACAGGTGTATTCGATTTCATATACATTAATAATATTATTAATATCATTTCTTAAAAAATTGTCAACAATCACAGCCGTCATTACATATTATTGCAATAAAACATATAACATATGACATTTATTAAATCAGCAGAGTCCGCGTTTGTCGTCGGCAATGTTCGCTCAGACATGTGACGTCACAGTCTTTTCTATGTTTGAGAATTTAGTAGACCTTGTAATGTAAGATCTATGGTTATTTTTTAATTTTTTTTTAATTTAGGGGATGATGTGTGTGTGATGCAAAGGGTGTGTGTGCAACATGCAGTCAAATCTGTTGAAAGAAGCAAAAGAAATGCCAATTTGGAGACGATTGCCAAAAGATTTGGCATGTTGGGAGAGCAACCCGATTGGGAAGAGATTTTGAGGTAACTAGAAAAAATTAGTTTATTGAGCATTCGTTGTACAAATAAAAAAAACATAATTGACACACACATAAACAATACAGTCAATATGTGCACGAGTGTCGTCAATGGACAACAATAAATATGTCGATTATAGCCTAAAGCTGTTTCACTCCGAGTAAAATTATTGAAAAATTATTATTATTATTATTATTATTATTTTAGTACTTTAAAAATGGTTTATAATTTTTGAATTCCAGATACTTTGGCGCATCCAAATCAAAATCAAAGTTTGCTCGTCAGTAGAGTCCATATCTTAATTCTCCAAATCAAAATTAAAGTTTGCTCGTCAGTAGAGTCCCTTTTTAAAATTATCTAGATTAAAATAGAGTTTGCTCGTAAGTAGAGTCTCTTTTTTAATTTTCTAAATCACAATTAATAAAGTTTGCTCGTCAGTAGAGTCCCTTTTTTAGACCTCTATATCAAAATTAAAGTTTGGTCGTCAGTAAGCTCCTATTTCTATTCTTAACATTGATATGAAGTTTGCTCGTCAGTAGAGTCATTTTTCTTTTTTTTATTGATAAAATCAAGTTAATTGTAAGTAGAACATTTTTTATTTTTATTAAAAATATTAAGTTTGCTCGACAGTAGAGCCCTTTTCTAATTATTTTATGTTTGCTTGTCAGTAGAGTCCTTTTTTATAATTTTTATTTTTACTAAAGTGCTAAATACATTGTGGATTTTTCAGTACCAAAAAATAGAGGAATGAAAGAGACTCTACTGATTGAGCAAAATTCAATTTTGATTTAGAGAATTTTAAAAGGGACTCTACTGACGAGCAAATTTTAATTTTGATTTAGAGAATTACTAAAGGGACTCTACTGACGAGCAAACATTAATTTTAATTTAAAGAATTAAAAAATGAACTCCACTGATGAGCAAATTTTAATTTTGATTAAGAGAAAATAATTGTGATAAAAGATTTGAAAATCTATTATTGAAAAAATCTTTATACAATTTGTAAAATATTTTTGTAATTTTAGTATTTATAAATAGAAAAGAAATTAAGGGTTGCTAAATTCTGCAGAAAAATGTATTAACAGCTATGAATTTTTTTCTTAAAAAAAATTCTTTAACACAGTCATACTTTAATGATATCTAGAAAAATCTACAAATTCTACCAAAGATCTATTTTTATTAATAATATCAATTTTCTTCGTTAGTAAAGTCCTTTTTCTATTTTTTATCGGTAATTTGAAGTTTGATCGTTAGTAGAGTCCTTTTGATATTTAATTGATAATATGAATTTTGCTTGTCAGCAGAGTTCTTTTTCTATTTTTCATTGGTGATTTTGTTCATCAGTAGAGTCCTTTTAGTGTTTTCAATGATGATTAAATTTACTCGTTGTAGAGTCCTTTTTCAAATTTTTATTGATGATTTTAAATTTGCTCGTCAGTAAAGCTCTTTTTCTATTTTTATTAGTAATATTAAATTTGTTCGTCAGTAAAGTCCTTTTTCTATTTTCTTTAATGTGCTTTAAAGTTTGCTCGTCAATAGAGTCCCTTTTTTACTTTCTAGATCGAGATTAAAGTTTGCTCGTCAGTAGAGTCCCTTTTTTACTTCCTAAATCAAAATTAAAGTTTGCTCGTCAGTAGAGTCCCTTTTTCAATTCTCTGAATAAAAAAATAAAGTTTTTAGCGTACTCCAATAACAAACAAAGAGACTCAAAAATCCAACAAAAATCGAAAATAAAAAAGAGTGCGCGTAAGGATCACACGCGATTGAAGTAAAACTTATTTGCTACTGTGCAAGATGGCATTTAAGTAAAAATAAATACATCATATAACAATTTGGAATAATTTAGTTTTTTAGTAATATGGTAACACTCGTGATGCACACATTTATTAGTGTCAACACCATTTTACACATTTATATAATGATAAATTATAAATTATATATTGATAATAGCATTAAAAATATCTATAATATTTGAAAACAATGTAATTAAAGTCATACTTCAAATATGACATGATCGGTTTGTCATTGTAATTAGCATTTATAAATGAACCTTCATTAGAGAAATTAAGAAATTGCTGATTAATGAATTCTATAATATTCGTTCACACAGATTATTATGTTAAACAACGCCTAAACAAATATTGTTTATTGATACCCATCATCATATAATAATTGTGTTTGAAGAACTTCATGTAATTAAAATTAACATACATTCACTGACTGCTTGTATTTTATTTTGACTATTTCGCTGGCGATATAATCTCATTCTTTGAACAGCTGTAATATCCGTCTTGTCTAACAAATTGAAGCCATACTTTTATATTTGTTTTATTTACATACATTCATTGACTGATGATATTTTTTTTACTTTTTCGCTGGCGATAAAATCTCATTCTTTGAACAGCTGTAATATAAGTTTTGCCTAAAAAATATTTTCTATTTTAATGACTTCAAAGATTTATAGAAACTACGAATAATATAGAAATAATTTCTAATCAATAAACTCACGTTTAGTACACGGCACAAATGTTTAATTTGTTTTATTATTTTCAAGAAACAGGGTAAAATATTCTTCTAATTTAAGCATTTTCCATTAAAGCAAGATTTGTACTATGATGTAACTTTAAAATGTTTATTTACCTATGTCGATTTGCTTGTTGATATCGATGCGCATACAACGACAGATCTCTATTCACATACACGACTGCTAATCACAATCGACCCGTATAGAAATGATCTAATCGAGAGCGAATGACGCACAGTTCGGGCGTAACAAACTTCAGTTGCATTTGTACGGATTTACACCCTAGTCGCGCCTAAAAAAGTTTTACTTCAACAATAATCTAATTAATTAATCAAATTCCAGCGGATACCTATCGAGTTCCAACCAGGACAAACAATGGTACCTCCTCAGCGTTTTCGTCGGTGACGTCATGAAGGATCCCGATTTTTGCCGAAAATTGGCGAAGAGGAGACCTTGCCAACACGACGGAGGCCATAATATATAAATCATTAAAAATGTAACTAATTAATAATTATAATTAATTTAATAATTAATAATTATAATTATAATTAATTTAAAAATTATTAATTATAATTAATTTAATAGTATAAGATGAAGAAACTGATGTGAAGCAGAATGTTGTGTGTATATATAGAGAGAAATATATTTTGTAAAAAAATTGTATAGAGTGATTATTATTATGTTGGTTTCAAAAAGCTCGTCAGGACCTTTCATTTGATACCCAACATGCATTTTTAATTTTTGGAACATTTTGACCTACTGTACTGTATATAGTACGAAGCGACTTCGAATTGACATCGATTCGACTGGGTTGTGCATTTATTTATTACAACTCTTGTAACTTTTGAACTGTTCGCCGAAAGTTCATGAAATATTCGGTGAATTTGTTTAAAATTAAATTGTCTATAATACTGTCTCATGATTGGCATTGGTATAAAGCAAAGTTGCAAAGTAAATTGGTGTTTTTTATGTGAAATATGTAGTAAATGTGTAACGTACGGAACCCTATAGGTTTCCAAGATCTGTAACTATGATATTCGTAAAGTGCTCGTCGAGACCTTTCATTTGATACCCAACATGCATTTTTACTTTTTGGAACATTTTGACCCACTTTACTGTATATAGTACGAATCGACTTCGAACGGACATCGTTTCGACTCGTTTGTGCATTTGTTTATTATATCTCTTGTAACTTTTGAACTGTTCGTCGAAAGTTAATGAAATATTCGGTGAATTTGTTTAAAATTAAATTGTCTATAATACTGTCTCATGATTGGCATTGGTATAAAGCAAAGTTGCAAAGTAAATTGGTGTTTTTTATGTGAAATATGTAGTAAATGTGTAACGTACGGAACCCTATAGGTTTCCAAGATCTGTAACTATGATATTCGTAAAGTGCTCGTCGAGACCTTTCATTTGATACCCAACATGCATTTTTACTTTTTGGAACATTTTGACCCACTGTACTATATATAGTACGAATCGACTAACTTGTGCTATGATTTATTATATCTCTTGTAACTTCTAAACTATTCCTTTAATATAAATGATGTATTAGGCAAATTTGTTCAAATTTAAATAATTAATAATTCTGTCCAATAAAACAAGTAACTGTACTTCAAAATATCTAAGAAAATTAATTAATTAGTTTTAAATATAAGGTATGTTTTAAACATAAGAATGTACGGAACCCTATTGGTTTTAAGGGTCTTTAAGTATGATATTCGTAAAGTGCTCGTAAAGACCTTTCATTTGATATCCAACATGCATTTTTATTTTTTGGAACATTTTGACCCACTGTACTGTATATAGTACGAAGCGACTTCGATCGGACATCGCCTCGACTGGTTTGTGCATTTATTCATTAAATCTCTTAGAACTTTTAAGCCATTCGTCCAAAATGAATAAAATATTTAGTGAATTGTTCTAAAATAAATGTACTATACTTTTCTCTAGTACACCTAAGACCTACAAAAACTTGGCATACTTTAAAATCGCTATCAAGCACAAAAACTTAATACGAGTGCAAGTATTTTTGGCATCGTTTGTAGATTATAAAGCATTAGATTAGTATATTTGTAGTATGATACGTAGTACTATAATATTATACCAACACTAATTGCAATTTTTATGCAAAACAGAAGTTTGCAATTCTTAAAAAAATGAAAAAAATCGTATATTTGTCTCTGGCACTTCAATTTGTCTAGGATAAGTGAAAGCGTATGAAGCTCTATTGTATTTTAATATCCATAAGTGCTCGTCGAGACCTTTCATTTGATGCCTAACAAGTATTTTTACTTTTTGGAACATCTTGACCCACTGTACTGTATATAGTACGATGCGACTTCGATCGGACATCGACTCGACTCGCTTGTGCGTTTATTTATTGCACCTCTTGTAACTTTTGAACCGTTTGTTTAATATTAATACAGTATTTGGGAAATTTGTGCACAATTAAATAATCTAAAATATTGTCTAATATAGCAAAGTCCTACGAAAACTGTATATGCTTTAAAATTGTATTTGACAATGAGTCCATTCATCTTTTGTTATACTACTTGTTTTCTTGCAATGTTGTTTTGATTGATGTTTTTGAAGGACCAATCGTAAAATACTTTAATTATAACTGCATATATTTATTTTATATTAATAACAAGTTATAAGTGTATTTACAATAATTTTAATATGTTTTAATATCGTAATGATTGATTTTGTATGATTTTCGATTGACGATTTATTGTTTATATATCAATATAACCGCACACTTTGATATGGCGCGAACACTATTTTCAAAATAGGTTTAGAACTAGTTTTTAGTAGAAGTTAGTAGTTTTAGTATTTGTGGAAATTATAGATAATTTGTAGAAGTACATGTTCCAATTTTAACGTTCTAGAATGTATAGTTGATGTTGAAGGTGCGTATCACTTATAGATTTTGTAGTAAGTATATAAAGTACGGAACCCTATTGGTTTTTAGGATATATAAGTATGATATTTGTAAAGTTCTAGTCGAGACCTTTCATTTGATACCCAACATCCATTTTTACTTTTTGGAACATTTTGACCCACTGTACTGTATATAGTACGAAGCGACTTGGAATAGACATCCGACTCGTTTATGTATTTTTTCATTGAATCTTTTGTAACTTTTAAATCGTTTGTTTAATATGGTTGATGTATTCGGCAAATTTGTTCAAAATTAAATACCGCTCAATATTGTCTAATATCATAATACCCTACAGCAACTCGGTATACTTGAAAATAGCAACTAAAATCTAAAAACTTTTTGTACTGAAAGAAACTGTTATCATGTTACATTTTTATCAGGGTGATGCATTAAAAAAGAACTCTACTGACAACCAAACTTATACTAGATTTTATTGAATTTAATATAAATATAATAACAAATTCCTGTGATAATCTATCAATGAGAACTCCACTTACTAGCAAATCAATTTGCAAACTAAAAGATAAAAAAAACATTCTGGTAATGAGCAATCTAAATGTCGTTCTAGAGGATGAATAAAGAACTCTACTGACAAGCAAAATAAGTTTACTTAAAAACAAAAAACAAAAAAGAACTCTACTACCGAGCAACATAAATTTAGATTCAAAACTAAAAAAACTCGTTTCTAAACTAAAAAGATAGTTTCTTTTAGCACAAAAAGTTTTTAGTTTTCAGTTGCTATTTTCGAGTATACCGAGTTGCTGTTGGACGTTGTGATATTATACAATATTGTAGATAATTGAATTTTGTAAATATTTACCGAATACATCATTCATATTAATCGAATGGTTTGAAAGTTACACGAGTTATAAGAAATAAATGCACAAACGTGTAGAATCAATATCGATTTGACTTATATACAGTACAGTGGGTCAAAAAGTTCCAAAAATCAAAATTTCATGTTTGGTACCAAATGAAAGATCTCGACGAGCATATTACGAATATCATACTTATAGACCCTATAAACCAATAGGGTTCCGTAAATTAAACATTAACCTTATATTTACAATTAACTTATCGATTTTCTAAGATATTTTGTACTACAATTACTTGTTTTAATAGACAGTACTATAGATTATTTAATTTTAAACAAATTTGCCTAATACATCATTCATATTAATCAAACTGTTTAGAAGTTACAAGAGTTCACAGGTCGAGTCGATGTCTTATGCAAGTTGCTTCGTACTATATACAGTACAGGGGGTCAAATCGTTCCAAAAAGTAAAAATGCATGTTGGGTATCAAATGAAAGGCCTCGACGAGCACTTTACGAATATAATACTTAAAGATCCTTAAAACCAATAGGGTTCCGTACATTAAACATTTACCTTATATTTACAATTAGTTTATCAATTTTCTTAGCTATTTTAAACTACTGTTACTTGTTTTATTAGGGAGTATTACGAATAATTTAATTTTGAACAAATTTGTCGAATACATCGTTCATATTAAATAAATAGTTTAAAAGTTACAAGAGATATAATAAATAAATGCACAAGCGATAGGAGTCGAAGTCGATTCTTACTATATACAGTACAGTGGGTCAAAATGTTCCAAAAAGTAAAAATTCATGTTGGGTATCAAATGAAAGGTCTCGACGAGCACATTACGAATATCATACTTATACACCTTGCAAACCAAAAATGTACATACTACCCCTACACAAAACACTTCAACCAAACAATCCTTTACCTTCCATTAATCACAAAAACAATTACGCAAAACATCTCACATGTGCAAAACCTTAACTGACCATCATAATACCCTATATATATATATATATATATATATATATACTTTCTTCATCCCACTTCTGGTCCTTTCCAATTGTCATTTTGCAAGGATATTAAATATGAAATAAAGGACGACAATCGTCTAAAAGCATTTAGAAAACGGTTTTGATAATTATTTTCAGAGATTAATGAAGGTAAGTCTTTAAAGGTCATAAACGGTCGTAAATTTAAGTGACCGCCACTGGATGTAATGACCGCAGATGATAGATGGCGGTACGAGTTATTTAATGTGTTGACAGGTGCGAGTTTGATAATTTAATGGGTTTAGTGAATGGATTTGTTTAGATTATTGTTGATTGTAGGTTTGTTTGGTAAGAAAAGTGTTGATTTTAGTATTTGGTGTTATAGTAGACATATTAATAAATATTATACTAAAATTACAAATTTCTAGTAGTTATAGTTTAATTATTAAAAATAATTTAGTATATATCAAATTCATAGAGAAAAAATGCTGCATTTGTTAACATTTATATTAATTACAGAAAAACTGCTTGACTGATCTTGATAAAATTATGGTAACTCGTAGTCGACATACATACGTATCGAATGCAATTTAATTCATTTCATTCGGATAAATATTTTACATTTTATCGAAGAAACAAAATCAATTAGCTGTTTTCTTTGTGGCGTTGACAAAGAGTGAAAGATAAAATCAATATTTGCATAGTGAATAATAAGGGAGCT